CATGGAGAAGGTAATAATAATAATAATAATAATGGATTGGATTTATATAGCGCTATGCCTTTATTTCAACACGGCTTGACTATTGTAATGCACTGTTTTTTGGAGTCAGACAACGATCTCTTGCTCGTCTTCAGCTCATTCAAAATGCTGCTGCCCGCCTCTTAACTGGTACCCACAGCTATGAACATGTAACACCTATCCTGTCTTCTCTTCATTGGCTTCCTGTTCATCACAGAATCAATTTCAAAGTCCTAACACTGGTTTATAAATGCCTTAATGGTCTTGCTCCCCCATAACTTTCCGAGTTACTTCAGCCTTATATTCCTTCATGGACCCTCAGATCAGCTGACCAGCTGCTGTTGGTTGTCCCAAAATCAAGGCTTAAACGTAGAGGAGAACGAGCCTTTTCAGTTATGGCCCCAAAACTTTGGAATACGCTGCCTTTAGATATTAGACAGGCATCTTCGTTTCCTGTTTTTAAAATGCTCTTGAAAACACACCTTTTTTCGATAGTGTTCAGACTGGCTTGAGTTGATGTGGTTTTTATGTGTTTTATTATGTTTTATGTGAGCGTCAGTGGTTGTATCTTGTGTTTTATCCTGTGATTCTGTTCAGCACTTTGGGCAAACGTTTTGTTTTTAAATGTGCTATGTAAATAAACTGGATTTGGATTTTCCCTCCACATTTCACCTTTAAAAACTATTTACTTTTCCTTGTTTAGTATCATCCTTTTCAGCACAACCTCACACGTCTGAATTTACAGTTATGTTTTCATTTTTTACATACTGTATTAGCACAATTGATCTAAAATCAGACAAAAACATAAAATCCGAGTAGAAAATTTTATATTTTTTACTGTAACAACCACAAACATGTTTAATGAATCATATTTCATAACTTTAAATGCAAATATAAATTGTCAATTTTAAAATCCTATGCACAAGTTTTGCAAACATAGTTATTTGCAGCCATTTACCTTTTACCCTTTTTATAACCTTTTCAAACTATTTACAGAACAATCAGCTGTTCTTCATTCAGTAAGATGCCACAAAAATTATTTGTGCCACTCCAATAATTTCTGTCCACTATAAAGGAGAACATCACAGCCTGATACCTGCAGGTCTGACAGCAGCAGGTGTATCACTCCTGTTTCTACCTGGAGACAGCAGTCGCCTCATTGTTCTGACACACAACACAAAACTATCCACAACACTACACACTAACTACACAAGACAACACATTAACTACACTCTCCAAACACGCTAAACGTCACAAATCTCTCACATCTCAAAACTCGCTCTCGCTCTCTCTTTTTCTGCTCTCTCTCTCTCGCTGTCACTCCTAAATCTTCCGCCTCTTCCTAAACAACCAAATGTCATGTTGCCATATCATTTTTTGATTGGTCGACATGGTGCATTTTTCCACCAACACCAACATGTTTTTTGTTTGGTCATAAGCAGAGTGCTTGCTAGCGCTGTCCTTAGACAGTAAACGTGATGAAACTATTCAGGAACAAACGCCGTGTATATATTGTTTATCATGACTCTGGTTTTACGTGGCCTGTCAACACAATTTAAAAACTGTTATATATCACCTTGTTGCTTTGTCATCTTGAAGTGGTCATGTAATTGGCTTACCCCGACCACTTTATTCTTCTTCAATCAAACAGCAGCACTCATGCGATTGTTTTGCTCACTAGCTCCAGGTGTTGTGCCAGAAAGTGGTCGTCGGGCAGAAAGTGATTGCTGTCCGCGGGAGTGCACGCAAATGCTTAAAGCTGTAGCGCCTAGATTACTTACAGCTACTTCTGTGTAACTAATATAATGTGCAGTAAGCTGAACACAGCTTCAACCGTCTGTTGAAAAATAGTAACGGACCGTATTTTGTTGTTAGTAATGGTAACGGCGTTGTAACGATAGGAACAGTAATTACTCATATTACTCGTTACCAGTGTTGGTCAAGTTACTTGAAAAAAGTAATCAGTAACTAATTACTGATTACTTCCCCCAAAAAGTCATCCCGTTACTTTACTGATTACTTATTTTCAAAAGTAATTAATTACTTAGTTACTTTTTAAAAACACGATTTACAACCTGAATAGTTGATAAAGCGATAGATCTTTCAGCCCAATTCTACTTTTTCTACATAATCCATCATACAAAATGTAATCAAATGGAAAAGTCTCTTTTTAAAACTTGTTTTATTAGTTTTAATCTTTTAACTTTATGCATCAAGCAAAAATGTAATTATATGTAACATTCTCTGACTGGAAGAAATTTGTTTAATATTTAAACCTATTTTCTGCACATTCCAGCACATAAAATATTTTTTTTGTGTGTTTACACTCACTCTTTCAAATAGATGCAAGTAAAACACTGCAGAAAATAAATAAAGTCAAAGACTAGCGGAGGTAGGGTAGGCAGAGGTTTGTCCTGGTGCAGGTGTGCCGCGGTCAGTGGAAGAATCCGCGAGTTTCTCTGTGAGTTTCCCATTACGTCGTAGCTACTCGGTGCTTGCTTGGAAGTTTAGGAGTTTTTTCGCTGTAAAAAGAAGTTTTCTTCCCACGCACAGCGGACACTAATGTTTTTGTCACTTTTTATGGAATTAAACTCAAAGTAAGGTCAGTACTTCCACGCTTTAAACGCTGCACGCTCATACTCTCTCTGCACTCGATAATGATCCATTGTTGATCTGCACACAGCTGTTGTCACAAACGTCGCACTCGCTTACGTCACTGTCATGAGACATTCTCGCAAAAAAAATCATGGTTTTAGTAACACAGTAACGCAGTGTTCCTACGGGAAAGTAACGGTAATCTAATTACCGTTTTTGCAATAGTAATCCCTTACTTTACTCGTTACTTGAAAAAAGTAATCGGATTACAGTAACGCGTTACAAGTATCTCTGCTTGTTACTGAAAAAAGTAGCACCGTTAGTAACGTCGTTACTTGTAACGCCGTTATTCCCACCACAGATAATGAAGTGCTTCGAGAAACTGGTCCGACGTCACATCATGTCCTGTCTGCCACCCACACTCGACCCGCTCCAGTTCGCATACAGAGCTAACAGATTAACTGAAGACGCCATTGTTGCAATGCACCACATCACCATCTCTCACCTGGAACATCAGAGGCGATTCACCAGGCTGCTCTTTGTTGACTTTCGCTCTGCTTTTAATACGATACTCCCCAACAGACTAATAGTTAAACTGCTGGATATCGGACTTCCTTCTACTACCTGCTGCTGGATCAGAGACTTCCTGTCAGACCGTGTATAGAGGGTTAGAGTGGGGCCTCATCTTTCCTCAGCCCTCAGCCTTAACACCAGCTCTCCACAAGGCTGTGTACTAACACCCCTACTGTACACTCTGTACACACATGACTGTGTTAGTTCCCACCCAGTCAATGCAGACATGATATAGAGCTGAGGTCCAGAGCATGTCGGATTTGTGTGCAGACAACAACCTGGACTTCAATACCACCAAGACAAAAGAGCTCGTAGTCAACTTCAGAAGGAGGAAATCTGAGCTGCAGCATCAACAGGGAGTGCATGGAAAGGGTGTCCAGTTTCAAGTTCCTGGGTGTGCACATAGAAACAGACCTCCAATGGAGCTCAAACACCTCGGCGGTTTTAAAGAAGCCCCAACAGCATCTTCATTTTCTGAGAATCCTCAGAAAAATGGAGCTGAAGAAGGTGCTGCTGATCGTCTTTTACCGCTGCTCCATTGAAAGTGTGCTGACAAACTGCATCTGTGTGCTGTTCTCCAGCTACACCACAGCATTTCAGAGGGTTATTAATATGGTCCAAAAAATCATTGGACAGTAATGTGCAATAAACATACTCATTCTTTTATTTATTACGTCATTCATTTGCTCATACCATTCATGCACTTAAAAAAATCCACTTTAATTTAAGTTACTGTGCTGTTTTGTTGTGCTATTGTACTAGGTATGACTGTGCAATGACAATAAAGAGTTGTCTTTATTTGCTGTTTTATCGGTTTGCTAGTTGTTGAATAGTTTTGTGAGCTTTGACCTGAGATTCTGGCGTTTCTGGCAAAATACATTGATATTTAAAAATCAATTCAGAATTTATTGAATCAAAATCACTTTATTCAAGCTAAAATCGTTTTGAGTCAGAAAAATCGATTATTGAAACCCACCTCTATTTATAATTTAGTCTGGTAACCACCGGTTTCACTAACTAACCAGACCCCACTAACTGTGGACTGTGGGAGGAAGCCGGAGAGAACCCCCGCACAAAAAGGCCCCGCCCTCATTGTGGAGTTGAACCACTACTGGCCGTGATGTCAAAATATCCATTTTTCCCTTTGAAAGACTAAAGGTTAAATATCAGCTGTATTTCCTCCGGCCAGTCAAGAGGGGGCGGTAGGCTTTCATGACGTCACTATCCTCAGGTTAATGTGTTTGTTAATTGCTGGCTGTCATGGTAACAGTGTGGCGGCCTGTGCCGGGAGGCAGTTGCAGACAAACGTTTGGCTCTGTGTGAAGTGATCTATCCGCTTCTGATCGATCACATGACTGTTGTGGAGCTGCTTCCGATCGGTCTGATCTGTCATCGATCGCTTTTTCTTTGTGTCCGATGGAGGTTCGTTTCTTGTCTACGCCAATATACTCCGGTCTCCGCGCGCAGTGGGCGGGGATTGACCTCCGGGGTTCCACGTCACACCGCGATGGTTGTCCACCCTGCGCCCGCGCGGGCGGGTCTATTTTATCCGCGCAAGTCATCAGTCACGTGACGCCCTCGGCTGTCCTAGTGGCTGATGAGGGTCACGTGAGCTGTGGACACGTTGTCATAGAGACTGACTCCCCCCTCACTATCGTCAACCCGCCCCGGTAGAGAAAAGAAGCGCTCCCTGACAACTGGCGGGGGGCTGGGCTCACAGACCTGAGTGGATTGTGATTGGTCGAGCGTCCCAGCAGCGGGCTGAGCTGTGATTAGTTAGAAGTACAGAGCTTCGCTGTCAGTCAGAGAGAAGCCCCGCCCCCTCCGCTCAGACCGCGGACGCTCCGGGACGAGAACCGCACTTCTTTGATCAGAGACCGGAGCAATCAGCTGGATCAATCGGAGATCGGCAGGTGATCGACCATCGGCTGATCAGGGATCGGTTGATCAGGGGAATGTCCCGGCTGCTGGAGAGTAGGAGGCAGGACAGGATGAAGGAAATTAACCTGAAGGTGAGTTCACCGGAAAAAAGAAAGAAATGCTCTCCGGGCGCGTGCACACCGCTCCTCGCGGATGGATCGGGGCAGACGGCTGCGCGCGTCCGATCAGGAGTTATTGATGAGTGATCGTTGAGGGAGCGGCGGGAGGCGGCTGTTCCGCTTTGTTTCCGCTTAGACTGTTCCGTTACTATAGAGTATCGATCACAGCATCGATACCTGCTGATCAGACACTGATCGGCTACTGATCGGTCGTACACGCTGATCACCGATCGATCGATGATCAGCGTGTACAGGAGGCTGTGTTTGAACACGTGAGGAAAGTTTGAGGAGAAACGGAAACGGGACTTTTTTTTCCGTTCAGACTGAAAACTGCTCAGAGCGCGCGCGCGTGTGTGTTCAGCGTCCGTGTGCGTTCGTGGCGCGTGTGCGTTCGGCCTGTGTGCGTGTGTTCACACTGAGTTTTGGTGTGTATTAGTTTGTGTGTCCGTTAGCTGCAGCGTGGCCGCTTTGTCCTGCAGGAGGAAACGAGAAGGGGGAGGGGAGGCTGTGTGTGTGTGTGTGTGTGTGTGTGTGTGTGTGTGTGTGTGTGTGTGTCAGACAGGAAGCAGGGAGGAGGAGTGAATATTTGACTGTGAATATTTGACCTCTGACCTCTGAGCCGTAAATAAAGACGGAAACTGAGACAGGTGACACACTAATAAAGTTTAGTAGAAGATAAACCCTTTAAATGCTTAAAAAAACACACACACACACACCGTCTCTCTCTCTCACACACACTCCGTAAAACTTTATTTGAAGTCCTTCATTGATCTGCCATCAGTGAAACTGATCAGTTTTAGTTCATTGATCAACGCTGATCGATACCCTCTGTCTGCACCAAGTATTGCTACAGACCGACCAATCAGCTGCTTCAGATGATGATGAGAACATGATGGGAGGTGTGAGGCCCAGAGCAAATGTCATGTTGATCAGTGAGCTGACATTACCTGAGCTCAGGTGAGGAGGCTTCACTCAGTCAGAATAACCTCACATGAACACCAGATCATGTGATTACCGCCCCGTCACATGATCTCTCTCTAACGCTACACAATGAGGGCAGAGCTGCACTTTGACCTATGCTCAGGCAGATGCTTCACTCTGATGTCAGAGAAGGAAGCGAATGTTTCCCTCGTGCCAGCACGCGACCACGTTTCCATGATGACCTGACGGTGCGCTGCTATGAATTATGGGATCGCATAATCTCCCAAAGGGCGCCGCAGTGTCCCCTGGCATGGAGGAAGCTGTAAAACTCCTTTCAGCTCTGACTGAGGAACACTGATCTTACCATTAGCTGTGCGGTCATGTGACTGCGCTGCAGTGCATTGTGGGATGGAAGTAGAGCCGGTGTGTACTTTGCTGAAGAAGGAGTCCTGTTTCTATGGTTACCCACATGTTAAAAATTGACATTTTCAAACTGTGAGTGTATTTCAGCAGCCAACCACAGGAGGAAGAAGCCACAATCAATAACCTTTGACCCTGATCAGGTGACTGTGCGTGTGCAGAAACAGGTTATTAAAAACGAGTTTAATCAGAAACGCAGTTTGAACAGTTAATGAAAAATAAAGTCAACACTGCAGCTGTCACACACACACAGACACACACATACACACTGTCTCTCTCACACACACACTCTCACACACACTCTCACACACACACACACACACTCTCTCTCTCGCACTGCATGCTGGGAGTTTGATGGTGGTGAGTTTGGTGTGTCTGAGTGAGAGTGTGAGGTGTGACCCTTATTAGCTGAGGTGATCAAGCAGAAGACACTAGATATAGCCTTTCTCCAAGAAACACATACTGACAGTACAAATGAAATAGACTGGGGTCTGTGGTGGGGAGGGCAGCAGCTTCGTAGCCATGGGACAAATTTTAGTGCAGGAGTTGCTATTTTATTTTCTCCTTCTCTTAATGCAAATATTACTTTCAGCATGGAGATGGTAAAGGGGAGAGTCCTTATGGTGAAAGCTGAAATAGGTTTTATTTTTACTTTTGTTGTTGTCTATGCACCAACCTTAGGGTCAAGGGGACTGTGTTGTGTTGGGTGGGGACTGTAATTGTTGTCTTGACTTTACTTTGGATAGGACAGGGGCGGAGCCGCATCTTTATCAGATGTCCTACGGAAAATTAACTTGGTTGAGGCATGGAGGATGAAGCATCCTTCCCCAGGCAGTATACCTGGGTGAAAGTCAATGATGGCAGAGTTAGTGCAGCCAGATTACACGAGTTTTATTTGTCTGTTTCACTTACTGCTCGAATTGTTAACTGTCAGTGTTTTCATGTTGTTTTTTCAGATCATCACTAATTTCTTTTTTTTTTTGTTGCCTGTCCCATTTGGATCTTTAGCCGTCAGAATTGTTGTCTGAAGGCCAAGAAAGATGCCAAGCGGCTTTACTTTACCAATTGGATCATCATGGCCTTGCCATATTGGTCCATTTGATTGACCTTTATTATAATTATGTATTTATTTGATTTGATTTTCGGTTGTTACAGATGGGACAGACATGACTGGGGGATAGGACAGGGAGAAAGAATGAAAGAAAGAGAGGGAGAGAAAGAAAAACAGAGGGGAGAAGAGACGGTGAGAAGGGGGGGAAGAAAAAAAAGAAAAACAAACAAAACACCTGGATCACCTGTATGGAGAAAAAAAACAGAAGAGAAAGCAAACAACAAAGAGCAACATAATAAAAAAACAGCACCATCACAATAAACTAGCTAGCAGTAGATAACAGTAGATGCTAAATATTACATGTTATTGTGCAGTACGTAAGATCAGCAGCGCACAATGTGCTTTGAGGTAGTTTGTGTAGTGTGAACACCCGTGTGCATACCTGTGTGGATCGGTACGTTTGTATTCCAAAGGTTTCTCCATGTAACGATCTGCTAGGGAGTGTGGGGAGCCATAGCCCTGTCCACCAGGACATGAAGCAGGTATGGAAGAGATCCAGGCCCCAGACATCCAGAGGCCCCAGAATACGAGGACCCGAGGAGGACCACCAGGGGGGCAACCGTGTCACCCTCCTGGGAAGAGCTGAGGAGAGCCCCAAAGGAGAGGTCACCCAGCAGCCACGGAGCAGAGACCAGAGGGGGTAGCCGATAAGTGCCCACGGGCTCTGCCGGCAGCCAGCTGTGCCAGAGAGGACCAGGCCTCAGGCTGTACCCCACCCCCCGGAAGGGGCCCAGCCGGGCCACAGGCGCCAGGCCCCGCCAATCAGCCACCAGGAGTGAGCCGGTACATGCATGAGCGCCCAGCCCCAGACACCAAGAACCACCAACACACCAACATCTGAAGGCATCAGCGACTGGCAGGGAGTGTGGTGAGCGGAGATAGGCCTCCATACCTCGGAGAGCTTGAGATGTTCCCAGAGAGGTGAAGTCTAAGACCCAAGCTGACATATAGACACAGATGAACAGGCACACGCAGACATAAAACGTGCATTCCCACCCCCATATACAGAAAAACAAATACTCGGCACTGCCCAAACATACTCTATATCCCAGGTCCGGGTACCCCTGTCCCCAGAGGGGCAAACCGTAGAGAGTTAGAGAGCCCTGCAGTTGGGCCGATGCACCAGAGGTCCCCATGCACCCACCCGCCCACCGACCCGGCAACACAACAACCAGGACAAAGGCCTGGCCAGAGCCCCGGCCCGGGGGCGGAGCACCCCCAGACCCCTAAGCCTCCACGCCCATCCCGGATCCACTCAGGGGCAGCCAGGCTACCAGGCCAGTAACCAACTTCCGCCAGCATAGACCCTCCCCCATCTCCGCTGTACGTAGCCACAAGGAAAACACCATCTAAGAGCCACCAGAGCCCCTAACCAGGTCATGGCCACAACCCCTGCGTTAGGCCTTCCAGGGAAAACGTCCCTAGGGAATCCCTAAACGCCCTAAGACCGTCCCTACCCCCATATCAACCACAATAGCAAAGGTAGGACTAAACCATAACCCCCCCCACCCCCACTAGGTGATGAAGCCTATCAGAGGGATTGATCAAATGTGATGGCAGAGGCTGTATCAAGACTAATGTGCTCTATTAGATGGTTTTTATATTGGTTAGAATTAAGATTATTTTTATTTTCCAGTTAGTGAGGACCATAGGGCCGTAAAAACAATGTGGGCTGTGTTTATTTCTGTAACGACCTCATCCAAGTTGCCTAGCAAGCACACTAAAGGGGAGGCTGGAATGTTACATTTCAGACACTTTGATAAGTCTTCACATATCTCGCGCCAAAACTTCTGAACTGGTGGACAGAACCAAAGAGTGTGGACATAATTGTCCGGTGTATTTGCATGACAGTGTGAGCAGTTATTGGAAGACGTATAGCTCATCTTGAACATCCTATGACCAGTATAGTGCACTCTGTGTAATATTTTGTATTGTATTAATTGCCAACTGGGATTTCTGATCCATTGAAAGGTTTTTAAGCAAATCTGAGACCAAAGGTTTTGGTCTAAGCTGATTGATAAATCCACTTCCCATTTTGCAATAGGAAGGGATATTGATTCATCTATTTTAGAAAGTGTTCTGTATATTTTACAGAATAATTTGGGGGATTTTAGATTAAAAAATTGTACCACACTTGGTGGTGTTTGTAATTCAGCTTCACTGGGATTAAATTTCTTTTTTACTATGGACTTAATTTGTTGATATTCCAAAAATCTTTTCTTGTTAATGCCATATTGTATAACTAGTCTGTCAAACGAAATAAAGTCTGTTCCTTCCAATGTATGTTCCAAGTATTTAATTCCTTTACCACTCCAATCTGGCAAGTTGATCATATCATTGTTTTGTAATACCGGTATGTCCGGATTGTTCCAGATAGGTGTACGTTTACATGGGATTAATGAAGACTCTGTCATTTTTAGAAACTCCCACCATGCTGTTAGAGAAGAGCTAATATTGATGCTTTTAAAGCATTCATGTCGTTTGTTGTTTGAGCTGATAAATGGTAGGTCTGAAATTTCTA